TTCTATGAAAATGTGCCATTGTTCATTTGTTCAGTGATATCACGCTGGAAATCAGCCAGAGTGGAGGTATTTACACTGGAGCGGAATCGGCAAACACCTACAGTTCAGGCCTGGATTTATTGTCTGGTGGTTTATCTGGAATGAACAAGTGATGGAGAATACGTAGATAATTTTAAAATGTGTCATGTGTGTAGTGATGACAGGGTAAAGAACACATACAACTGAGGAACTGGTCATTCAGTATTTAAAAGTTGTCATCCAATTTAGCAAAGGAGTCACGTCACTGACAAATAAGTGTTCTGACATACATCTTCATTGTTTTATTTTTATTTTACTTGTTAATGCAAACAAAAGTATCAACCTACCTTTTCTAAGAACTATATGTATTCATTCATCGCAACCATGGGTTGGCTAGAAATGTTTGGCAAAAATCTTTGACATAGTTTCTGAGAATCAATTGGCTATTTGAAAATTACAACAGAGTATTGTATATTTTATTATTATTTGTCAGCCATGAATTATTCTTTTTTTTTTGAGAAATTTTCACTATAGGGCGCATGCACTCACCAGACAGACAGAGAGAGACATAGAGACAGAAAGCGAGAAATCACCCCCCAGGGGGGATGGTCACGCCGCAATCCCTTCTCCTCCATTCTCCTCTCGGGATCTTGGGCACGCACGCACATGCGCCTGGCGTGAGTTTTAAGCCACCGGGTCCACGACGCAAACCGCGGTCAACTACGTGGGAGTCCAGCGACATAGCCATTATGCTGACTGCTGGTTCCCTCAGCCATGAATTTTAAGCCGTCAAATCCAGGACTTAAACCACAGTTGGCCATGTGGGAGTTCAGAGCCTTAACCAGTTTGCCATCTGTGGACCCCATCATGCCGATCTTTAAAAACTTTGCCTTGAGCCAGCAGGGCCAAATTCACACTGGGTACATGTGCCTGCGTGCCCAAACTTCTGAGAGGAGAATGGAGGAGAAGGGATTGCAGCATGGCCATCCCCTGGGAGGTGATTTCTCACTCTCCTCATCATGCCTCTCTCTCCAGTGAGCACACACGCCGTATGGGAAACGAACAAGCAACACAAAACAAATAGATTAGCTGTGGTTCCAGGAGGAAGGAGAACGGAGAAGCATAGATGTGAACATGGCTGCTCCTGTGTTAGAAAGCCACTGCCCTCCACCTCAGGCCCTGAGAGGACACTTGCTTCCTAGGAAAGAAGTGAGTTTTGTTTTTGTTTTTGCCTTTTTTGGGGGGTTTTCTGGTAAAAACCGGAAAACCTGCTAGACAAATTCTTTTTTTTTTTTTTTGAGAGGTTTTTGCTATAGGGCGCGTGTGCTCGCCAGCCAGAGAGAGACAGAGAGACAGAAAGCGAGAAATCACCCCCCCGCTAGGGGGATGGCCACGCCGCAATCCCTTCTCCTCCATTCTCCTCTCGGGATCTTGGGCACGCACGCACACCAGCCCTGGGTGAGTTTAAGCCAGTGGGTCCGGGACTGGAACTGTGGTCGACTACGTGGGTGTCCAGCGACATAGCCATTACGCTAACTGCTGGTCCCCCCGTTAGACAAATTCTAAAAGAGCTGTAACACTAGGAAGTGAGTTTTAAGAGGCAGGCACCTATAAGAGACAGTGACTTGAGAGATGAGAAGCACGCTGTGGGAGGGAGAAGGCTTCCACCAGTGAACAGGGCACACACATTTTAGAAGACAAAATAGTGCAGGCCTAACAATGTTCAACAATTCGCTCCTTCACAAAGTCTTTCCTTGGCTTTCAGGCCTGCCATCCTGAACCTCGGTGGCTCCCTCTCTGTCTGTCAGCAATGACTACCAGACCTGGAGCAGCAAGGCACATCGCTATCAAGAACTCCTTGAGAGAGCTCCAGAAATGGCCAGCTAAAACTTCCACAGCAGAGGAAGGGTTTCAGTTTCACTCTGGTTTTATTTTTGAAAAAATGATCACGGGAGGAAAATAAGAAACGGTTTGCCCAGTTCTGACCCCCAAACTCTAGGAAGAGTGGGGGGGGTTGAGGCGAGATGAGGACAAGGCCCCAGGACAGCCCTCTGCGAGGTTCCTCCCTGCTCCCCAGTGGCCTGGGTCTCAGAATGAGCGCCACCTGCAGGTAGAAAGCTGGAGGCAGGAGAATAAACCTCAGAACACTGGCATTGTATAGACCAGGAAGGAAAGTCCAGCAAATTCCCCTGGGCTCCTCTCTGCTTCCCTGAAATTTAGCTTCATTGTGATCAAGAGACAATAGGTTAAAGTCTAGGTGCAAGGGGAAGCAGCTCTAATTTTGGCAGAATCTAAGAGATCTCACTGTCTCCTCAGAGAAATAAACTATCAGGTGAGAGCTCTCTTACCTTTCCCCACTCCAAAGGCCAGGATCCCTCCCACTTTCTCTCAGGACCAGTGTCTTCAAACTTCCTTTCACTTCTTTCTTTCTTTTTTTTAAAGAATGATTTATTTTCATTTTATTTATTCATTCATTTATTTTAATTTGATCATAGAGAGACACAGCGAGAGAGAGTGAAAATGAGAAAGCAAGCCACCAGGTTCAGGACTTGATCCGTGGTCAACCATGTGGTAGTGTCCAGTGCCTTAACCACCTCACCACCTGCTAGCCCCTCCTTTTGTTTTTAAAAGAGGCTTTTGGTCGTCAGAGAAAGAGAGACAGACAGACAGAGACATTGAGAGGGAAAGTGAGAAATCACCCCTCAGGAGAGATGGCCACACAACAGTCCCTTCTCCATTCTCCTCCTAGGATCTTGGGCACACATATGTGTCTAGCATGAGTTTCAAGTCACCAGGTCCGGGATTTGAACCACAGCCAGCCAAGTAGGAGACCAGTGACATAACTGCTGCATCATCTGCTGGCCCCAACATTCAAACATGCTTGTGGCTCTTCTACCTTAGAAATATTTCAAAGCCAGAAAACAGAAATAACTCCCTGATCATATATCCCACCCGCTGCTGCCTACCTCCTCTTCCCCGTCCCAGTCACACTCTGCGTAGAGCGGTCCCTTGCTGCCTAGCTTCCTTTCCCTCGCTTCAGTGCTCACCTAATTCTCCCAATGCCTCCCCAGGAGACAGCGCTCAGCACATGCTCTGCCGTCCAAGGGGCCCTTCTCTGACCTGATGTGTTGGGAGCATGGGAGTGATCATTCCCCCTCTGTCTTGAACACTCCTCCTCCTTCCTCCAGTAGGTGCATGCACTCTACAGAGACAGAGAGGGAGAGAGACAGAGAAAGAACGCAAGAGGGAGAGAAAGCACCATCCAATGCAGTGTGGTCATGCCGCGATCCCTTTTCCTCCACTCTCCCTCCTGTCGGGAATCTGGGCATACAAAACGTGTTTTTCAAGTTGTCCGGCTGAGATTTGAACCCTCATTGTCCATGTAGGATTTGGCTCCCTTAGCCACCACTCTAAGGGGCCAGCCCTGAACCCGAGGCAAGAGCACATACATTCCCAGCCTCTCTCCACCTCCCTGCTACCTCATCATTCTCTGATCTTGTCGATGTCACCAGTTTCTCGGCCCGCCATGGATGACCATGGAGTTCCAGCTCTTCTCTCACGGCAGGCATCCATCCTTCAGCAAATCGTGCCTTCTGCATCGATTTAGAATTCCACCCTGTCCCTGTCCTCTGCCAGCACCCTGATCTCAGCCATTGTCATCTCCAACCTGGGACACGATAGTAGCCACTTGGCTGGCCTCCCGGCCTCCCTGCCTCCTGCTATCCACCACACTGCAGGGTGGTCCTGTTAGGTCATCTGCGTGGGGCTTTCTCGTCACTTGCCCATTCTCTGGTCCCTTTCTCAGTGGGGCTTGGCACCAGCACATGCCTTTGGGTGGTCTTTTTATCCTTGGAGGTAGTTACTCTTGGGTGAGGCCCTCTGATTCTACCACCCCAGACTGGTTCCGTCTTTAAAACTAGTCATCAACTTTTGAGATTTTTAAAAAAGCAATTACTATTATTTCATGAATTTTAGAAGCTTCACTATGAACATGCAGACGTCCTAGAATAAAACTGTCTGGGCATATTTCCTGTGACAGATTAACACTGAAATCTGTGCTGAAGAGTGACAGGTTCTGGCAAACTATACCTCGGAGCCCTCGACCTTGGCCCTCCACGGTCCCGCATCATCCTCAGGCCTCAGGTCATGTGTTACCTCCCTGGAGGTCCTTCCCCGGCCCCACACCTGGGCCGAGAGCCCCTCCTCATTTATTCTAGGCACACTGCGGGTCTCCCAGAGCACTCTCCCATAGCTCTGGTCCTGGCCGTGGTAGCTCAGTGCCTGGAGAATCCGTTCTGAGCACATGGCACCAAGTAAGTAGTCGGCCCAAACTAAGGGCGGCGCTTT